GGACACAGAGCTCTCAGGATACTGCAGATGTGATCCTGCAGGAGCCCCAGATACGAATGAGAATTTCAGTTCTCATGAACAAACTTCACTGCTTCTCTAAAGTCTGAAAATTGTAACTGTTCGAAGATTAAAATTGCAAAATTCAAACCCCAGAATCTATTACACTGTGTTTTTCAAACCCTTGCATTTTCAAAGTACAAAAAATTTTTTTGTCTTGGATTAGGCGGTGTTGAACAATTTCACAACAAAAGAAACACCTGTATACTTGTAAAAAATATCCAAAAGTATAAAAGCAATGGAAAACTATTTTCAGACAARATTAAGGTAATGTTTTACGTTTTGGACATGACTCTCAAAAACACTTAAGTTGGATGAAGCCAATTAACAGACAAAACTGCTTTTGAAAATTACAGAACTGCTGTATTTAAAAGGCAGATCCCTTGCAAATCAAACRTTTTTGCTCAACCTCCACCACCATGAATAGAAGTTTTCACTGAACTACGACCAAACTAATTCCAATAATGAGATACTGAGACTCAGTTTGCTCTGAGTGAAGATTAAGKTCTCTGAGTGAAGAATGTTTCCTCRGAATTAGAAATCCTGKATCAGGACATAAATGGTGGATAAAATGCAGCCAAAACAGGATGGMCAACACACACATCCATGCACAGTCCTTCAAACAACACCACTCGGTCTGTAACMATTCCGGAAGCAGATACTGAAAACCATCAGTCAGCTCCAGATGTTTGCTCAGTTACACCTCCAACAGAAAAGGGATATGTCCCAAGTGACCCATCCTGCTAAACTCTCTGCTAGCTCATATTTTTAGCTTTTATAAATAACTGAAGCTGGTTTTCTTTCTTTTTTTTTTTCTTTCCTTTTTTTTTTCCCCAAATTGATGCAGAGGATTATTGCAATTCTTGCTAGAGGGAATCCTTTAAGGTTTGCCATTTTTATCTCCTGGTCTCTTATCAGAAATGGAAACATTCTATTTTTAGGGCTTCCTATTTCAAGGACTAAGCTAAAATACAAGCTTACAACTGCCTTTACCCACTAGTGTTTGGGTTTATTTGGGTTTATGCAAGGGAAGAAACAAGATCCTACAATATTTTTCATCTTCAGAAGTATCTTTGTTGGTTTTGGAGATACCTGAAAGAAATGCTAATGAACAACAGTTTTACAACTCTCTCTCCTTTCCAACACAACCACWGTGCTTTGAAAGCAACCCTAAGAGGTTTTTCTAGTAAACTGTCACTCCACACATGCAAGAAGTGAGCTCAGCTTCCCCTAAGTGGGTCATGGGATGCCCAAGCATGRGAGGTTTTCAAAGTAGTATTAAACTTTTAAAGACATCAAATTTTCTCCTGGTGTGAGAAGCTGCAGCCTGAGAGCAGCTGGGACTTTGAACTGAAAGGCTCCCAGCTGGAACCTTGGCAGGCAGGGATGCAATGATTAATTCACATCTGCACCAACATATAGCTGCAAACAGAGGAGGCTCTTTGGAGACAGCCCCAGAGCTGTGAGGCAATATTTTTATTTACAACCTCCTCTGAGATAATATTAAGAACACATGCAGAAGASCCACTTAACCCTGACTCTTGCTACATTTGGCCCACATCAGATGAAACCAAGCAATGACACAAGCACACACCCCTTAAATCCCATTTACATTCCCTTTGATGTCAGTGATGCAGAGCCTTGTATTGGGTACAGGAAAAGAAGCATAAAATCTGACAGTGCCTCTCAATTTCATTTCAATATTTAACTTCATTATGACTTTCTCTGACAAACAGCTGTCTAGTACCGAATATTCCTTCATACAAAAGAAAACACTGATAATAAATTGCCTCCCAGTCTGTCTGTGGGTAATAGTTTAGTAGTGTCTGTTTAACCAMCACCAGCCACCTCCCTGTCTGTCCAAAACAGAGGCTGGAAATAGAGTCCAGGGACTATTCTGCATTTAATACAGAACCTTGGCTTTAAAAAGGCTAGGGCAAGACTTTCAGAGTGACAGAAACCAGATCAGCCTGAGCCTTGAGCAGTTCATAGCAGGGCCATWTTCCAGTTTCCCTTTGCAGTTTAGGGAAGGCAGCACTACCAAGGGTGACCCAAATCTCAGGTGAACTGAATTATCTTCAAGAGGTATTTATTTTTCCCTACAGACTATAAAAGAAGATAAGGGCAAGCAGACACTTTATTTAGGYGCCTTTATTAAGAACCTAAAATTAGGCAAGATTAATCTGGGCCACCTCCTTTTGTCAATCACAGCACTGAGAGGGCAAAGGCACTGAAATAGATTTTCTAYGAGCCACTCATGGCCAAGAATCTGCAACAAGTATCACAAAAAGAATAATTCTGTTTCTTTGTGACATTCACCAATTCTCTGGCCCTTTGCTGTGTGACACAGCTTTCCTTTCCTGTCTTCACTGTCAGGCAGATTTTCAGGGCTGAAGCTGCTGCCATGCCAGGAGTGTAAGCAGCTTCTCCCAATAAGCTGCTTGTTGGTRAAATGCAAAATTTCCTTTGCCTTCYACTGGGGGATTTTCCTCCAGTAATTGGTTTTCTCCATCTGTGCTTATTCTCAACTAGTGAATAAAGGATGTTTCYTCAGTTCTGACTGAGATTACAAGGTAAACTGATCCATATGTATTTGTGTTGCTGATTTCTATCGCTATTTCTTTGTTCACACTCAACATTTACGTGGCCATGATTGTACATCCCAATATTGTATTTTAAGGATATTATTTCATAAGCAAAAAATAAGGATTATTAAGTAGTGCTATATCTGAAATCACAGATATTTAGAAAGTGTCTAAATATACAGTTAAAAGTCAGCCCCCTTTATGCTATTTCAACAATACCCAGATTATTTCAATCAAAAATGACCAAACAATTATTTTTACCATCTAACTTGGAGCTCTGATTTTCCCTGTTCTAGTCTTTCCATGGATTAGAAGGTGATTTCTGGGAGACTCATTGGCTTAATTAGCCACTATATTTGGCCTCACATTGGCATAATGTGAATACACTTTCTTCATCTGCTACTGCCCAAAGTGCTACCTGCACACCCTTTTGGCTCCTAAATAGAAAGTGTATCTGTATTCAGGCTTATGAGGTACAGGAATATAAAATTCTATTTACTTCAGTAAACATGGAATTAGAGATCTAAGTTTAGTTCAGTGTTTGGTCTCTTGGCAATGGGACAAAGCTCTCAGTCTTCCTTTGGTGGAGATGGATAAAAATTTTCTCAGTTTCAGAAAACAGTTTAGGGAGCAAAGGAAAAATATTTGCAASTTTCCAGTAGAATTCAAATTAGAGTTTCAAGCAAAACCAGATTTTTTCTTTCTCAGTGCCAAATCATTCATCCTCTGCGTGAAAAATTTCCTTTAAACTGCCAGTACATTTTTTTTACTGATTTTAAAATTAAATATTGGCTTTTTTTAATTTGAAATAACATTTTTATTTTAAAAGAGCAGGTGAAAATGTACAAAAGTTAAATGGAACTCACAATTAAAGATAAACAGTTTCTGAGTGATGTCTGCACAGCTGATCCAAAGAGATTCTATCCTCTTTTTTCARTTTTGACTGACATCAAGTAAAATGCCAATCCTTTCTAATGTCAGTCACAGAATAAAAACTGTTTACTTGCCTCTACATCATATTCAAAACAAGTAGAGTGCATTTAGAAGCAGTAAAGTTTTCCATAAAAAGTATTTTGAACCCATCTAAAAATTCAGATATTGTCTAACTTAATATGCAGAGGAGATGAGAATGGTTTTAGTTCACTAAATAAAAGGTGTAATTAGTAGAAACAGTGCTGCAATTTAATAAAACAAAGAGGTTGCGAATATTTCACACACATAAAATATTCAAATGGTGAAGTAATTTTCATTTTTAAAAGAACTCCTGTGAATAACTGTCCTGATCTGGTTGCTGAGATAAATAGAAGTTAGATGCAAAACTAGAACTCAGGAAAGAATTTTTCAGAAGTTTTTGGTGCTTTTTTTCCTCAAGTTCTTGCTCAAGACAGCATCTACAATTGGCTCTTTGCTTCAGTTTCAGCACTGGCATCTGGAATTAGCAGGACCTTTATGGCCCAGGCAGCAGCAGGACAAGCAGCCTCACCTGSCTTTGTAATCACCAGGAATTACAAACTCCCAAGAGGTCTCACACCACATTAACATCACACTTCAGGTCACAGGTTTATGGATCAGCAAGAAATTGAATTAGATCATACTTAAAATATGTTTTCAACATATTCTTGGTACTGCCTGTTATCTCCACACAGCCATATCATTCCTGTTCCACCTTGTTCCAGCTCATTTTCCTACTGATGAATTCTGGATTTATTTTTTGTATATTTGTAAATAAACAGCATTGTGTAAAGCAAAATCTAAATGTCCAGTTTATCAAAAAGCACAGATGAACTAGGGGTAAAGAATAAAAAAAAAACCAAAAAACCCAACCTTACATTGTTACCTGAAAATTCAAATTATGGCAAGTAAGGTTTGCAGCTTTAGGAAAGCCTCAGGATTGATTTGTGTAGGAATATTTCCAAACTATAGTTATGMACATAAGCACTAAAGGCAGTTCTAAAAATAAATGTTGCAGCTGGGACTGAGCTGAAAGATGGGAGAAAGCTTTTACTATTTCAGAAAATGGAAGATGCTTGAAGTAATCTATTCCAATACATAAGCTAATGTTTAGTTTGAAATCTGGAGTCATTATATGCTCTACGGGGAATCTTTTTTTGGACAAAATGTTAGTAACCAGTACATTTCAAGGTTGTGCCAGAGTTAAGTGAGGGGTACTGACTTTTTGTCCTATTGCTCTGGACAAGAGTATAACAGAATTCAAACTTAGTCCAAATAATTTCCTATTCCCAAGTGGGCAGGGGCAGAGAGATAGAACACTACACAGAGCTCGTGTTTAACAAAGTTTACATGCCAGAGGAACCAGAGCATGTAAAATCCTGACTAATTTTCTAAAATTTTATTCAGCAAGCTCAGTTATAGAAGGAGAAGAAACTGCAACATTTGATTTCAGAGACAGAAATGACACAGAGTWTGAAGAATTACCAACAGTGGTGAGTACATAAAGCCAAATAAAAGATCCTTTTATCTACGTGCTTATTCATTGCCACCTCTCACTCTTCCAATTCGGTATCTCTCAATCCATTTTAGTGAAACCAAACTCACAAACTACTTTAAAAAAAAAAACCCAAAACACTGAAAAAAAGGCAAATCTGCAATATTTTGCAGCCACCTACAGTTTTTGCAGTCCTATGAAGAGATCTGATGTAGAAAGCTTCTTGGTGGGAAGATAAATCAGCTTATCTTGATTTGTTTTGGTCACTGTACACATGTCAAACACAAGAAGTGACAGCTAGATGAATCTACACCTGACAGACCAAGAAATTTAAATGTTACTTTATACACATAGACTGAATATACTTGAGGTTTTGTTTTTCCTCTTTCCCCTTCAATTCTTGTAATTGCCCACAAGATTACATAATGTAACAAATCTCTTGCAGTTTGGACACCTGAAGACCACAGAAAGTGCCTTCATCCCGGAAAGAGAAAGTGAAAATTCTACTGTTTATGAAGTTWACACAGAAAGTGTCGATGGTAAAACCCCTTTCATTTCTATTTTTATATACTGAGGTCCTACTGCCRTCTTCTAAACAATATCTGGAAATCACAAATAGTCTCTCAAACTTTTAATTTGCTCACTTCCTAGCAAAAGGGCAACCTCAAACCATTGTGACAAAGTCAATAAAGGTTTTCCTTGGATAATGAATTGGAATGCAAAACTCTGTACAAAGCAGAGGGAGTAATTATTGTCTTTCTGGCTTTACAGGTGAACGGAGTGGCGAACTAGAGAAAACTGATGAAGGTATTAAACAAAAGATTTGTYTATAATGACAAGGGGGAACATAATGCCAGGCAATTCCCCTTCCAGCAGCCACTGGCTGTGCCCATGCCATTAAGGAAAAGTTTCAGGAGGAGGCACAACCTGCTCCCTAAATGCCTTCCCTGGTTCAGCTGATCACTGTCTCCATATCCACATCCATATGGAGCCCTTCAGCCCAAAGGCATGCTTGCAGGCTGCTGAACATCCAACCCAACTTCAGAATTCACAACATAGTCAGAAATTTCCCCAAGGCCTGGGATGCAGCAGAACAGTATCAAGTTTATCAGTAGCCTCTTATCAATGGTCTCCATGAGATACATGCTAACATTCCCATTTCTTCTTTCAGGTGCTCTGGGAACAATTGCACTGGTTGGAATAATCGTTGGAATCATAGTTGCAGTTGGAATCCTTGCAGGAATAATAATTGCTGTTGTAAGGAAGATGTCAGGCAGGTACTCGTAAGTAAATTGCTCATCAGGCTTTTCTAACAAGCATCTTCCTCCGAGCTAGGTCACAGGAATCATTTGGGGAATTTCTAAGGTTTCCATTTTGACAAAACAACAATTTTCCTGTTATACAGTGCCTCAGACAGACTTGGCATGAGTTGCCAGTGTGATGTGGGGTCTGCACATTCTTCAGAAGAATTTCCCAGAGAGTGTGCACAGGATGTTATAATATCAGATGCTTGGGGCTGGGATTACTCTGGTGCACAGAGATAAAATTCACTAGGAAGTACTACAAGACCAGGAGTAGTGGATAATGGGAATATTTGGAAGTGACCTCTRCCTTATTTGTTGGTGCCACACAAATCTGAAGAGTTTTATAAGCACTGAAGGAATAAGAAAACCCCAGGACATTGAATAGACACTGTCCAGCAGGAAGAAAGCAAAATAGGAATTGGGAAGAGAAATAAAGAAGTGATGGAAAAGACAAAGAGATGGAGGAAAAAAGATCATATAACTAACATTCRGGTAATGATAAACAATAAAATGTCTACCTTTTGTTTTCCAGGCCCTAAACACAATTGAAACAAGCAACCATGCCATTCTATGCCAGAAAATACAAGTGCTTCTTATTTTATACAAACTAAAGACTGTTCTTGTATTTGTGTGAGAAGATGATCCATGGAAAATATAGTCAAAGAATTTCAGATCTATGGGGATACCGCACAACTCTAAGGACCACCCTTACCTCCCCCTGCCAATTACAAAGTATGGAACATTTCATAGGATTTCTTTACTAACCATAATTTTACTAGAAGAGAAATATTTTGCAGTAAGAAAAAAMCGTGCAGAAAAGAGATGTACATCTGAAATGTGATTTGCAGGTAATACATGCTTGGGTTTTTATGCTACCAAAGATTATTTCATATTACATTGTATGTATTATTTTGAAACAAACCAAAAAAAAAGGTTTTGGCTGGTTAAATGTTTCTGGCATGTTTTTCTACCACATGACGTATCAAAAAGGAGGAATTAGCTTCAGAGAGAACCAGTTATTTACAAATTAAGAAAATACTGGATATTGGAAGCTAAAATCTTTCCACTACTGATACAGATTTTCTGCTCTTGATACTTATGTTATTTTGTGGCAAAATATGGTTAGGTCTGGCTGGAACTGACCTACCAACTGAAAGCTTGCTCGTCTGACTATGGCATCAGGAATTTCCTGCCTCTTCTTGTTGCAGAGACATGCAGGAACTGAAATACACATCCTGAATTAAGGGGTGCTTGGAAAATACCCAATTTTGATGGGTCACTTTAAAGCTGACATGTAGAAGCTTTTGAATTAGTGTACACAGTTTTTTTCTTTATTCCTGTCCCATTTTCTAACTGTACAGTTGATTTGTTTGACAACACGTGCRACACCAGGGCAGAACGTGTTGCTGAGGTGTAATGCAGCTTTGGAGTCTGCAGCTTTTCTGGGGCATATTTTGTGCTGCACAACCWGAATGTACAGAGCTCAGAGCAAAGGTTTTGCATGTCAAGTGGCTGCAGTGCATCAGGTTTCCTAAATTTTATGGCACTTCAGTGTTTGGTGTAAAAATCATGATAATCAACATGGTCATCAATTGCTAAACATGTCAGCTTATCTGTGTTTGCTTTTCTTTTTCTTTCGTGTGCCTTAAACTATCATATCAATACAAGCTTTGGAAATAAAAATCATAATGTTAACGGTATTATTTTAGTATAATTGTTCTTTGTTTTCTTTAAAAAAATTAAAATGTCTTAAACGTCCTTCAATTTTCCTGACTTATTTTGCTACTTGTCTTATCAWTGCAGTGTATACAACCAACTCATTTGACACTATAATTGAAAACAAAACATATGAGAGAAAACTAATTCAAAAAGCTTTAGTTAGTTMTGGAGCTGATGTGATGACATGCTCAGTCTGTGATCAATGAGGAAGCTTAAGCTTTATCTTCATGTAAACTCATATGGAAGCAGGAAAATTACAGTTTTTTCTTCTTGCTGCAAAAGAATATTAATTTCTGTTAGCCTCAATTTAACAATTTCTTGTCTGTACTGGGAATTACCCCATAAGGTGCTCTGATGCCTGCTGAAATGCATGGCATATGGAATTATGAATTATTCACCCATTGGAGGGAATAGCACAGATGTCACCAGTTTCTTCTGCATCAGCTCAATCACTGCTAATTTGCAAATACAAAAATGAAGAAACCTTTTTTATGCCACCAGCAGTAACAAGCCCCCCAGTATGAAAGATGTATAGCAGAGTACCTTTCTGGGCAGCTCTGAGTTTTTCTGGATCAGGACACAACAGTTGAACAAGCAGCATTCTGCTCAAGGACACTGTGCTTTGGTCCTACTCCAGAAGCCAATTTAATTTCATTTAATAAGTAATTAATTTTTCTGGTCTTAACTGTGCCTTTATTGTCCAACCTCTTATTTAAGGCAAGTTCTTTTAGCCTTCAGTAAAAAATCAGCCCTTGACAAAATGGCCCATGCTGCACTGAAACATTTCAGGAACAATGGAGACTCAGTACTAAATATTGTGCTGTGCTAAATCTGAACCTGCAAAAACATGAAGACAATTTCCTTCTGATTATCAGTTGGAATCCAGGATACTCAGTGCATGGCTAAAGAAAGCAAGGGCTCTGAAGAAYCAGAAGACATCTATTATTTTGATATATCAAATCCAGCACTGCTGCTGCACTGATACATGCAATATTCTGATGATTCATACACCTTGCCACCTAGAAATCTCAAGTGCAGAACTTTCTGATCAGCCTCAAGGAAACCTAAAGAAACAATGGTTGGTTCGTGAAAATCTTGTACATTTGTTATGTATGTATCACTGGATCCTTAATTTAGTTAATTAGTGTTTTCATTATACAAACGTTCTGGAAATGCTGACTAAAGATCCACACAGAGGTTTGTATTTCACATTAATCTACTGCAGTGTTCTGTGACTGAGCTGTCACTGCCTTGCACTATCCAGCTTCCCATTACCAATCCAGGACATCAAAGGTGGGTTGAACACAAGCTATTTGGATTTTTGGTAGAATTTCTGTGGGAGATGGGACCTTTTCTGCTTTGTGAGAAGTCACACAGCACATTGTTCTAGGGCAAACCCTTCTGTGAGCTGAAATGAGTGGTCAGTACGCGCTTGTACAACCAGGGCCCGAAGTCAGGATACTTCCTATGCATGAGAACACACGAGGAAACAACAGCTCCATGCTTTCACCAGCTGGCCAAGCTTGACTTTTATTCACAGGGAACAACACTCAATAAATCAACACTTGCTTTTAACTTCAAGTCCCCACTCCTGATCACATTCATTCCTTTAGAGTTAGTAACAATAATGTTCCCTTTTGCAGCTTGGCTTTGTGTCATGAATGTGGCTCTCCCAAACAGACAAGCAGGCACCAGGCTTCCTGTGAGAATGCCAGATGTCACTAAAAAATATCATAAACATAGTTATCCCCTTGCATTTGTGTCTGTGGGGAAGATACAYAGCAGTAGTAACTATGAAAGCAGTGACTAGATGCATCAATATTTATAATAGTTCTGGACATCAATACAGCAATTCTTACAAGRGTTCATTTAAGGTATGTTTTTCCTGTAAGAACAGAAAATGTCATATGAATGAATTCAATGAATTCAATTCAAAACCAGCAATAATGAAGAGTGCACCAAATGAATTATGGCAACTGATTTACTCCTATAAATTTCAGAAGTGTTTATTTATAGTTAAATATCATTTAAAACATGCAGCAATTGCTTACAATTTTAGGAGCACTGCAGTATACCATTGCAATTATCTAAACCAYATCTTATTTCATTAAAAAGTAGGGACAGCCTGCACATTAACACCTCTGTAAAGTGCTCAAGCTCAAAAGCATGGATGCATCATTCATGGGAGSATGGCAAGTACTGTCAGATGAAGTGATTTGCCAAAGATTATTTACAGGTAAACTAAAAGGTCTTACTCACAGGTAAGAGAAAAGTCACCAACCCAGGAATTTTAAACATTAAAATAATAGTCCTTCACAGCTTCATATGAGTTCCAATGAAGCGATGTTCCATTATATTTCAGGCTAAAATCATCTTTAATATTCTTTAACACGAGATAGGGACAAAGGATATAGAACAAAAAAGCAACTTACTGAATCTCCAAGACCACTCAGGTCAMAAGTGTGCTTGGGTTGCTTTTGATGAAGAACAATCTAAAATTAATTTCTCTGCTACCAGCTGAAACTCTGCAGTATAGATGCTGCTGGACCACTCTAAAGCTTGTCTCATCTGGCCTGCAGTGTGCTTGAAGATGTTGTTACACCTATTTGTATTCACCTACTTCAGCAGCTGAAGTATCAGATTGGCTGCACTCATCCTTCTGGAGAAAGCTTTTTTAARCTAAAGGATTAAACATATTGAAATTCCCAGCATTTTGTTTTGTATGGATGCAGAAAGTAACAGGGGATGTGTAAGTTGACACCAGGTGCTGTAGTGAGAAATCTGAATTAAGGCTTTGTACACTTTTCACAGCTGCAGCGTGGAGGCATTTATGGATAAATAAACCRAGCATCACACTGGCCATGTGTCTTTGTCCAGGCCTTGTGGATTTAGGCATCAGACCAAACCCACAGCTCCCCCTGCTCTGCAACAAACAGTTGAGCTACAACACAAAGATCCCCATTCAATCACGGAGTTTATTCCGCTCTTCCAGCCTGGAGAAGTCAGATTTTCAGACTCTGGTAAATGCTATACTGGCAAATGTCTTAGCAGGCAAGGAGTGCTGCACATTCCATGCATTTTCAAAGCTGTGTTCTGTTYCCAGAAGGCAGTTGGCAAGGATGAGTGATTCTTGAGAGTTCAGAACCAAAACCAGTGACATGCACAAAAAAAAAAGAAGAAAATGGAAGGAGAAGGGAGAGAACTACAACACATTGTTTTCACTAATATTTAATTTTCATTCACAATTCCAGCTTGAGCTAAAATTGAACAATGGATTTGCCAGCCTGTGGGGCTACTTCAGCTGTTAATCCRCATCAATATTCAGATACACTTGAATCAAGGAAAAAAAATCTCAAAAATGTTACAACCTTATCTTCTGATAGGAAAGGCATCTAGAGTGCAACACAGCAACATGTCCAGTAACACCCAGGTAAAAAAGCTGGATTTTGAAGGGGAAARTGGTAGAAAGAATCTGTCCTGCTCTTCAGAGAACCCTGGTGCTTCTTTCTCCTTGTGCAGAACTTGAAGCTATTGATGTTCTAAGAATATGGATTTCATTGTATTACACAAGTTAACTCATTTTCCCAACAATTACTGGTAATAACTTGAAGGGAAGACTGACCAGCAACTGAGTTAAGTCATTGACTAGAAGTGAATGAACCTAAATCCTTGTTAAAACAGTCTCTTCTTCCCTCTAGAATGACTAAACATTTTCTAACAAGGCATTTTAAATGTACTGATGTTTGTCTTWGGAAATTAGTACTGTATGTCTCATTTGAGCAGAGAAGCAACTCCATTTCCTGTCTTTATGAACCATGTTATCCTCAAATAACGCATTCCTTTGAGTCCTGTGGATATTTTGCCTCATGACATTTGATTCATCCTATGCAGGAAACAGAGAAGGAATTAGCAGGTTCARCAGGTGTGCTCAAGGGGAAAGAGATAGGAATGTCAACTCTTCCTCATTTCCTATCCACCACAGGAATAAACCCCACAGGAGTTGAATAAGCAGCAATAACYRAGCACAGTGTAGTACATTCCAGTTTCTTTCTTGAAGGAATGTCCTCCCCTGTACGTCAGGCACTGAGGGAATTTGCTGGAGAATAAGGGACAGCCAGAGCTGTTTATTTTCCTGCCTACACCCCTATAAGCTATTTGGACAAAGAGAATTGATAAAAGTCCACTTCTCACCACATAGACAGAGCTTTAGATATTGGTGGCACAAGAGATTTTGACCTAAAAGCCAGCTCTTAAAGGCAAGTTGTATATAAAAAACACAGCTTGCTTTTACTGTACAGCAAAGGCTGCATGTTATAAAGTAGTGAAAAAATTTACTTGGTATATATAAGTGATCCAGACCTGAACTCAGCCTGAGGAAACTACTCCTGGCATTAAGATACATGTCTTAGTAATAGACAAATATTAATGAGATCAAGAAAGCACACATWACTATTAATCACCTCTCACAGGGAGGTAAACCCTGCCACCTGTTCATTTGAACTTAGAAGGGCTGAAGCTAAGAAATGTTTAACTCATAATTATAAAGTTCYTCCTGGAAAAACGATTTTCCCAATGAATTCTTCTAGCTCATTTTGCCATGATTAATACTTAACTTACTAACACAATAAACATGCTTGACTGAGGGGAAAGMAGCAGTAGAATTATTGAGAAGGTAAACCATGCTTGCATTTCATGCAGAAAAGTGAGCAAGAGCCACAAGAAAGACTTAAGATTTCATACACCTGACAAAAAACAATGGGTAAAGAAATGCACAAGCAGAATATTAAAATTAAAAACTGCTCACTGCAGGCTGATGTGGATGCATGATAACTGCATACTCCGTAAGCTGTACCTGAGCCCCAGCTAGTGGTGGGAATTACTGATGGCATTTTTACAGGAAAAATGAACATGTTCATAGCAGAAAAGCTTCAGGTTATTACGTATTGCCTCTTAGTCATCMAACCTGGTTTTATTTTTAAAATACTTCCAACAAAACAATAGTTACATATTGGTTAATCATGGTTTGCCTACACCATCTACACAGCACCTCAGTGGTTCTGTTTGATGCAGCTGCTGGAAGTCAGAAGAAGTTGTATTTCTTTCTCCATTCTCCATTCTCAGTGCTATTTCAGCCCCTGAGCCAGCCTGCCACTACACAAGTAGTAGGTAGCAAAATCAAGAATTTAAAATTATTCTTAGCTGCTTTTTCTCCCATGGAATATTGCCAACATATTGTCTCAACATAAATATTTCTTGATTAAGTGATTAATTCAGCTAAGGAACTCATGGTCATCTATTTTCTGGACCAAATCCTGTGGTGTTCAAATCAGTTTATGGAGACAGTTCTAAAATATCTGCTCCAGTTTACAATGCAGATTGTCCAATCTCATTGATAAATTTACATTTTAGTGGACTTTATTTTTATCCTTGGGTCACTGTTGCTGTAGTTGATACAGATTAAATTTAGCCAGTCAATGGCTCCATTGTCCATCTTAGTACAACTGCCCCATCCCTGGAATGTTCAAGGCCAGGCTGGACAGGGCTTGGAGCAACCTGGGATAGCAGAAGGTGTCCCTGCCCTTGACAGTGGGGTAGAACTGGATAATCCTTAAAGTCCAATCCAACCCAACCCATTCTATCAAGTCCTACAAAACTTACCTGCTGGACTGAAGACCTCAGCAGTTTGAAGAAGACAATGATCAGTCTTGGACAGGAGTCATCTCTTGTGTAAAACAGGGGAAAAGTCTTGGGATCACAACCTGTGATCAAGAGGGAATGAATGAACATAACTGGCCTAACACCCCTCCCCTGCCCCGTCAGATATCCTGGTTACCCTTTATCAGAAGTCAAATGGGGATTGTGGGAAAGCCCCTTGAAACAGGATATGGACCCCAAATATCTAAGACTAACTAGGTATGACCTGTGAGCAATTCATAAAGTGGTCCTGAAAGGGGCCTGCTCCATAGCTATAGGAAAAGCAGCACTTGTGGGTCGGCAGAAGAGGAACTTTTGTACAATGTGACAGGTGAGTGACAACCCAGGCAAGAGGGACAATCAAACCATGAGACATTTGAATTGTGTGAAAGCTTGGACATTGCTTTCAGCTGTTAAAAATTAGATATTTATAACAACACCTGCTACTCGTGGAGATTGTAGAAAGCAGAAATGAGGACTGTGAAGGACCTTGAGGTTAGAAGGGCTCACCTAAACCAGCAGGAAATGAAAGGAGCTGGAGTCTTAAGAGTCCCATTCCCTAGGACATTTTGAGCACAACTTCCTGAAATATCTTAGCAGTTCAGTCRATTCTTTATTTGCCAAAAATACACTTTTAGAAAAAGATGGCAATATTGCTTAAATCCAGAGCTATTAATAACCAGTAACCCGAGCAGTTCAGTCTTTCTCAGAGCCATAACATGCAGCACATTGTCTTCTATGTTTATAAGGACAAACCAGAACAGCACAGAAAGTTATGATAAAAGAGACCTTGTCCCAGTTAACAAGAGAAAAACTGGCCATACTGGTATCACTGGAGYCCACCTACTTTCAAGGCTACTTTAAACCCTCTGATAAAAAAAAAAAATTTCTAGAAAATGTTTTTTCCTGCCATGGCTCACTCAGATTTTCACACATAAGAAGTTCATTTTTTCTAACCACAAGTCACCTTTTCACTCACCTCGAATATATTCAGCCAGACACCCAAGATTTACAAAAAGGTTTTTGCTAGTATTTGCCTCTCCTGTGTGCTTACACACCTCTAAATAACCAGGAGAGCTAATTCATCATTCATTTTAGAGAGCACAACAGCAGGGATGTTGATGTTTCCAAAATCCAAAAAATAAAGCATTCAGAACTTTAATGAAGTAAAGATTTGTAGGCTTCTCTGACCACTCGAAAGTATAACTTGAAAGTGCAGGTCCCCTGGAACACCACCAGATGGTAGATATTCTCAGTGAAAATGAAGAGAAAATAAGGGTAACTTGTACACACATGTGGAGAAAAGTTATAATTTCTGTTATTCGTGATACTTTTGGGAAACCTTATACTTAATCTTGAAGGTTGAAAGGTTCATATTGTAGCTAGTTTGGTATGTWATTTGTTCTATGTTTCTAATTTTTCTGTTACAGGTATAGGGCTCTAAAATGTTACATGGGAGCCTTGATTTTTCTTAAAACATCCCTCAAACTCACAGAGGTATAACTAGTCTAGCTTAATTATAAAATTAAAATGTTAATACAGTTAAATTAGAACTCATTTAGTCTAATAAGTCAAAGTAGTTTAAACATATTTGAGGTTTTCTTACTAYTAAAATWAGAGGTTTCAAAACTGATTATGGTRTACCTAAACAACATTTTGTAATATAAATGCATCCTGAGTATTCCAGGAAGAAAAATCACTGTGCCCTGCTATTTTTCAGTCTGCTATTGCTTGCCGAAGCTAAGTATCACTGCAGAGGTGTTCAACTTCCCTGGCACAGTGTCTTCCAGATGTCTGAAAATTTATCTTTATAGCTCTGTTTCTTGAAAATACAGTGGATTGTTTTAAAAAACTTTGTTTTGGTAAGAGTGGGCAGACAGGTGATTTGCTTGGCTACTTGCTGAGGAAATCTTCTGGAGTGGAATGGGATTCCTGTCTCCTGGTGCTGTATGAGTACTTTGTGTGTCCAGCCTTACTTACAGTTTTAATGTTACTCATTGATGTARATAATCAAATAAATGTAAAACATTTYTAAASGTACTCTTATCTGTAACTGTATTAMWSTCTGCCATTCCTATSGGAATTTTCCTCTGGGAAAATGGCAAATTCTTGACATTCCAGGTAAAATACAGTCCTAGCATGGGAGGAATACACCTTTGACTTCATTATGAATAGAACATTCAGGAGAGACAGAAATTAAGGGCAGCGACACTGTTATGTCCTGCAGTACAAATACAGACATCTCCCAGGAGGTGACGATGGAGGATTCTTTTCYTCTCMGATTTTTTTCSTCTCATTGCTCAGAAATAGCAGTGAGAAGAACTTGGTTTAGATGGAACAGTATCATTTATGTGCAGCACAAATGGGTCCCAACCTAGAGTCAGCCTGGGCCTCTAAGGGCTGTGATTTCAGTGACCCAAATAATTTCCCCTTAGCCACCTTGGGGTTTTTTTGTGTTTTTTTCAGTCACAGGTGAAAAAATCACCTCCCTGTGGAGCTGCTTTACTACAAAAAGATGAAAAACAGACTGAAGAAGAAGAACAAAAGGGTACCAGGAGAGAGAACCTGGATAACCTGTTGATTGTCTGGCAAAGGGTGGTGGATGGAGGTGACTGGGGCACGTGGTGTGATCTGAGGGGGGCTCAAAGGATGGAGAGGGTGGAGGGGATGAAAGGAGTGAAGGAGATAAAGGGGGTAAAGAGGGAGAAGGGAATGAGAGGGATGAAAGGGTGAAAAGGGATAAAGTGAGTGAAGGGGATAAATGGAGTGTTGGGGATGAAGGCAATGAAGGGAGTAAAGGGAGTGCTGAGGGTGAAAGGAAGAAATGGGAGGAAGGGGGAGAAGGGGACAAATGAAATGAACACAATGAAGGGAACAAATGGAATGAAGGTGATGAAGGGGCTGTTGGGGGTGAAGGCAATATAGGGGATAAAGGCAAAAGGGGCTGTTGGGGATGAAGATGATGCAGGGCTGGAAGGGAGTATTGAGGGTTAAGGGGCTGTTGGGGATGAAGCGGGTGTTGGGAATGAGGGGGATGAAAGTGATGAGGGGCAGGAACAGGGTGTTGGGAATGAGGGTGATGAGGGCGTTTAGGGCAATGAAGGTGACAACGGGCAGGAAGARGCTGTTGGGGCTGAGGGGGATGAGGGCAATAAGGACAACGAAGGGTGGGAAGGGGCTGCTGGGGATCAGGGCAATGAGGACAATGAGGGGGTTGACGGCGATGAAGGGTGGAAAGAGGGTGTTGGGGATAAGGATGATGAGGGGGAGGAAGACGATGAGGGAGATGGGGGTGATGAGGGACAGAAAGGGGCTGTTGGGGATGAGGAAGATGAAGGTGATGAAGGGCAGGAAGGTGGTGTTGGAGATGAGGGAGATGAGGGGAATGAGGGCGATGAAGGGTAGGAAGGGGCTGTGGGGATCAGGGCGATGAGGACGATGAGGGGGTTGGAGGCGATGAGGGGGATGAGGACGATGAGAGAAATGAAAGTGATGAAGGGCGGAAAAGTGGTGTTGGGGATGAGGGAGATGAGGGGAATGAGGGCAATGAAGGAGCTGTTGGG